TAATAAGTTTTAATAGCAAATAATTCTCGATCATGATTGGCTAATTTTGGGGTGAAACCAAATCGGTGGATATGTAAAGGTGGCAAAATTTTAATGATTTAGTGGATTTGAACTGGTTATATCTGGATCCTTTTCTATTTCTATTGGCATTTTCGTTATGAAATGCACGTTTATATTCCAGTTTCGTTTTGACAATGAAATGCGAATCGTATGCGCCGTCAAGGGAAATCAAAATTCTGGCTTTCAATTATATTTGTGTTGCGTTTATTTTCTGAGTGTCGTCTAGGGTAAATCTATCATCGGACTTTCGATTACAGGATTATATTTATAATGACTTATCACAAAATATAATTGAATCCGATGATGGATTTACCATAGACAGCACTCAGAAAACAAACTGAACACAACATATAATAGAAAACCAAAGTTTTGATTTTCCCTTGACGGCACTCATATAATATATGCATAATGTAGTTACGATATAACTTATGTTTTATTTATTTTAAAAACCATAAACTGTAGTATAGATGATTTTACTGTCATATAATACTCGGCAAAAATATTGGTTTCTTGTATTAAAAGGGCCAATCTTGACGCATAAACAATTTTGAGTAAATCGATTTTAAATTAGGGATTGGACCCGGGTAAAAATTGTTACTATACGATTATAATAACTTACCCGGATAACCCGGGTAATTTAATAATACCCGGGTAGAGATTTTCTCAACGGGTCCAATCTCTAATTTAAATGATATTCAAATAGAAACGTGTAAAAATTTTTACTTTACGTTCATTTTGTGCATCTTTTTATTACATAATTAGCTTCTGTTACTTATAGCAAACTTCTTTATTGAATACAAAATCAAATAAGAATTTTTATCAAAATTGCATATTGTTGAACAAAAAAACATTAGTTTTAAAATTAGAAAGGACTATAAAATAGTAATGCGATTTTGTAATGCATGCATTTGAATTTTTTTTAGCGACGAGTATGTTAGACTATTGATAACGAATACCGATGATTTGCAGTTACAAAAGAGGCAAACGGCTAAATGTATATGAAAATACAAGTAGTCGTATACCAAGTTTATTATTACACTTAAGTTATTCGTGTATGGAGACACTATAACAAGGTTATAATTTATTCGAGCTATCCGTGTATGAAGACACGATTACTCTTTAGGGAATTGTTAGTTTTATTTAATAAAGTATTTGTGTATGAAGACTCGATTACTTTTTATTGAGTTGTTGAGTATAGAATTGCTTGTTTTACAAGAGCGATAAATGAGGTTATTATACATTTTGAACATTATAATCTCTTGATATTATTTCTATTAATACATCCTTTATCGCTACTTAGCGCTACTTGGTGCTACTAATGTTATAAATGCTTTATGACTATTGGCATTATTTAGCGCTATTTAGCGATACTTAGCGCTATTTTAGCACTCTTGGCATTAGTGGCCTAATATCACATGATGCTTAATTACAGGGGCTAACAGCACGTACGTACGTACGTACCCGTTTTGTACGACAAGGGTAGAATCGCCACCAAAAAAAGTTTCAAGTAAAATTTCGTTTTTTTTTAGGTTGCCATTAGATTGGTGTCTACAGACATTTATTATAGCAAAATTTTACAATGAAAACGTTTAGTTACTGATCGTGTTACGTTACACCTAATCTTGAGATTTGATTGGCCATGAAACTTTTTAGGGTACACCGTTCATTTGGAACCCAGAATCGTCGTCGAAACAGCGTTTCGGTTCAGAATAAGCCAAAATTTTGTCGATTACTGCCATCGGCCAATCAACATCGAGAATCTGCCACGCATTTTTTGAATGGGAAAATTAGCCTAGTCATGTGATAATCAACCAATCAAAGTTGCATCCACGATCCTTTCCTTTCAAAAATTCGTTAAAGTACATACTCATAGTCCCAACGGTTACGCAAATAAATTTGACGTAACCATGGTCGGGTGTTGCAAATTTACAAAATAAGAAACAAGAAAGAATTCTTGAACATTCTTAATATTAACACAAAATATGCCAACAATATCGAAATGCCAACAATATGCCAAAATTCATAAACTAGTTAGATCCTTTTATCGAGATATTTTTAGGTTTAATGTAAGTACATATGTAAGTACGTATGTACGAACGCACACAGACAGGTATTTGACCAATAAAAATAATGCGATTATACGTCACACATACATTTTGCATATAATCATTAACGAATGATTATAAATAGAACTTTAAATGAAAGTATAAAGAGCAAATAACCAGGACAAACAATCCTAAATGCGAAAGAATTGAAACAATATAAGTAACATCAGTAAAATTAAATGGGTTTTTAACAAACATAGAAGGTTAGTTTATGATGCAATGTTACATGATGTAGTACGATGTTACATCTTGGATCAATACCTTGGATACACTCCCAAGTTTAAATGTAAAATGATATTCGGTTGGTCTTTAAGAACTTGTTTCTGAATGGTCTGTGTGTTTGATTAGCAATATTTAAAAATTTATAAGTAGGATACGTTATGTACTTATGTTTCGTTATACGTATGAAGCGAAGCTTTGACCTGTTTACACATCATTACAGCTAAAAAAGGTTATAAACACCATATCGACACAATGATGAGCATGTACCAGTCATGGGATTGGCTTGACCATTGGAAGGAAGATTAGATTATATAAATGACTATTCCTTCTTCAGACTCTTTTGTTTCAAAACTTAAACATTCTTCACATGAATTATTTAAATTGTTATATTTAATTAAAAATTCATATAAATTATTATTATATTTCTAGTATTTAGTTGAGGTCATCGTTTTTACGTATCATTTGCTACGTACGTAACTTTCAACGATGGTATTAAATTAATAAACATTTGCCTTTTGTAAAAATCAATAACATATGACATTCATTATGTAAGTATTAGAAACAAGTATAAACGACGGAAACCGGGAATTCTCAATTGCATGCGATGTATTTACAGAATTGTATTTACGGAATGAATTTACAGGATGTATTTACAGGATGTATTTACAGAATGTACGTACATACAGAATGTACGTACATACATAATGTACGTACGTACGTATCTGTGTACGGGCAAGTCCAAGTTAGTGAACCTAAGGCAAACAAAAAAAGGTTCATCTATGTGGTATGAAAACCAACATACGTAATAAACGTAATAAATCTTTAATAAGATAATAATAATAAAGTGTATTATCATGCACTTTCCCTTTTACTAGTATTTATCGGCAAGAGGTCGTGGGTCCCTGTTTAGGTCCTGCTAAAAATACCTCATATGTTCATTTTATTTGGAAATCTGAGAAATAAAGTTAAATCTTCGATGAACCATTCACTTTATAATAATGCTGACTCCTCGTTGTACTAACCATGTGACTTTAAGCATTTATGTTAAATACCGATAATGATCTTAATAATGGTTCCTGTATTATCCTTATGTGCGATGTATCACCCTATAAACAAATATGCAGATTATTTATTCAAGGTTTGAACTTCTGTATCACAAATAAACGCCCATTTAACACCTTTCATCAAAAACGAAAGCATTTTTGAAATTCTGGAGATATCAAAAAATCCCTTTCTCTTTTGTATTTAAATTTCGTTATGGAATTCACGTTTTTTTAAACTTAATCGCATTAACTTTAATTTCTTGTGTTTAATTGCGTTTATTGTTAATTTTTTACACAAGATACCATTTCCATTATAATTATTCGTCAATCAAAAGAAAGTTTGGGTTCATCTGATCCCTTTGCTTTCTAATTTAGACGACAAACTTTTCATCTCATAACAAAAGAAAACATTTGATTACACTTCATTCGGTTGTACAGTATAAATGTGTGTATCTGTGTATGTGGCTTGTCACCGGTTGTAAGACATCGAAAAAAGATCGCCACTATATATATAAGTTACTATCTTAAACGTTACAAATTTATACGGTTTGGCTTTTCTCCTTTCCTGCTATAAGCTTTCTCAATTGTGTAATCCAATCCCTGCACATTTTGTAAACTTTTGGCCCTGGAAAATCTTATCTCGTTCGAAAAAAATCGGTTTCGAAAAAAATTATTAATCATCGATAATTTCTGACGACAAAAAAGAATTTAAATTCGACGACAAAAACAATAATTTATGAATATCAAAACAAAACATTCTACATAGTTGTTTTCTAAGAATTTAAGAATTATACCTCTTAAGGTTTGGATATTCGTTTCACATAACTTTAAACTTTTGGTAGTAGGATTACACGATAGGTAAATATTTGTTTTTTTAATCTTTTCATTCTTTTGATTCTTTTCATTCTCTTAATTCTTTTAATTCTTTTAATTCTCACAATTTCATTCTAAAAAAAAAACTTTCATCAATAGGTCTTAAAAAATAAGATGTCATCACCTACTACAGATAATATGGATAATAGAAATAATGACCGTCTCCCTCCAGAAATCCTAAAACAAATATTTCGAAACATTTACGGTTTTAGTGGATATTATCGTGATGCCTCTTCAATAGGTGCCCTCTATAATTGCCTTTTGGTCTGCAAGAAGTGGTGTACATGTGCTATACCTATTTTATGGTCCGATACCTTCTATCCTATTCAGAATATAAAGGTTGAAGTAATTTCTACCTATATGCTGTGTTTGGAAGATGAGGATTTGAGGGAGATCGAACGAGCTGGTATTAGATTGGATAAGGCCGGAATTATTTTGGATTCGGATAATAATTCTATTGAGTGGGAAAGTTCGGAAAATTTGGAAATGTTGAGACTTGAAAAAGAAAAATTAGAAAGACATCAAAAAGAAGAATTGAGATTAGAAAAAAATTCTGAAACTCAGAAAAGATTAGAAAGGTTAAAGAGATTGGCAATATTTGAGAGAATAAGGAGATTTGAAAAATTCGACTTTGATCATAATAAGCTTGATGATATTGATGATGATTTTGTTGATGATGATGATGATAAAAATAGTCCTACTCCCTTGATGAAGCCAATGTTTGATTATCCAATCTATCTAACTGAATTGAATTTTGATAAATTATTGAAAATGATATTTGCTTGGTGCTACAAATATCGGGGTCCCGTCAAACAAAATTTATGCGATACGAATGTCGATAATCCTCCACAAAAGAAGTCTACATTTCCTGAACTTGATAATTTTCCTGGTCTTACATCCTTCGATTCAGTTTCTCTAATTGATGCCAGCAACGTTTCTTCTTCAACTAATTCTATAGCTTCAACCTCTATAAATCCTAAAAATTTTACTGAGTCGATTTCTCCAACTTCAAACAACAAACATGAATTAGTATTGAAATCCCTTTTGAAATTGTTTGCTGATAAACGAGCTCAGATAACATATTTCTCTATGAACAACGTGCCTACTTTATTGCTTAACGATAATTATTTTGAGAATTTAAGAACAATAAATTTTGGTACGGTATTGATGGATACGGGTATACGACCATTATTCGAAGGTATTCGATACATGAATTTGGAATGGGATGCTTTGTCGTTGGATGGATTTTTATATGCTCTTGGGAATGTTTGCAAGAATTTGGTGAGTGGTTTTTATGAATTTTAATTGAAATTATATAAAGTTTTGGTTAATACGTTAATTTTACATTAATTAATACGTTAATTAATACGTTAATTAATACGTTAATTAATACGTTAATTAATACATTAATTAATACGTTAATTAATACATTAATTAATACGTTAATTAATACGTTAATTAAAATTTTTTTTTGGTCATTATACTTAATTATACTTGTATTTTACAGGATTCCTTGTCAACAAATTTTGCGCATGACCCAGTATCTTCATCTCTATTTTTAAACAAACAACAAGCCACCGATCTAGCAATATTTATTTGTTCTCAAACTTCTCTATCCTCATTCATTCTCCAAAATTATCAATATTTCACCAATTATTTTTTGGAATCCTTAAACACCCAGATTAACTCCTTAAAACGACTCGAATTTTATGCCGTAGACTTTGAAGGTTGTACTTTTGAAGTGGTGGCAAGTTGTAAACAATTAGAATATTTAAGTATTGTGGAATGTATGAATATTACCTTCGATATGTGTTTACCTTTGTTTTACACTAAATTTTCGAGACTAAGAAGAGTTGAAGTTATGGATTGTAGTAGATTTATCGAGAAACAGACAATTTATGATGATGATGATTTTGAAATTCCGGAAAGTCCTAAAAGTAGCGATTCTGAATGTGATGATGATGATGATTATTTTAGAATTGATACTTCATCTATGCCTTCGGTACGGAACGGTGGTGTAAGTGAGCCGACAATTTTATTAAAATTAAGAGATGATCCATCAATGGAGTACCATACTACTTTAAAAACCTCAACGGTTTTATTAAAACCGTCATCATCACAAAATAAATATATGTTTTCAAAATTTGATCGGAAAATACCTGCTTCAACAAGACATCATATAGTATTACATTCTAGTAATCCGAATTTCACGACTTCTCTTCCTATAGAACTTCTTAAATGGGCTCAATCAAAAAATCACCCCGTTCCATGGTATCATGTTGATCTTTCTCTTTCTAATATTCTTTCTTATTTTACTTTTGAAAACATAAGAGATTTCTTTAAGATGTTATATTATACGGTATTATTTCTTATCGCTTTATATTTTATCGTGCCTTTTTTTGTGGGGATTGCAAATTTTATTCTTTATTACATTAAATGGAAGATCGAAACTTCGATTGGAGTAAAAATTGATTGGGGTGGTGGTGGTGGTGGAAAATGTGGTATAGGGCGGTGTTGTGGTTCTGCTGGAAATATGGATATTATTTAATATTATGTTTATTATGAATAAAATTTTAAAATTCAAAGAAAATATTATAATAAAAATTAGTGATGTTATCATACTTGTCCGAACTCGGTTTGACCCTTGCTCGAAATAACCTCGAGTTTTTGTGGTCATAAGATTTTCATTATTACATTTAAACTCGACGTGTTCAAATTGTATTTGAAATCGATTGTATGAGCAAATGTTTTAGACTTCTAATTGCTATCGTTGCCGTTGCGCTATATAAATAGTTTTTTTGTTTTGGCGAAAATTTTTTCTTTTGATTGCTATAACGTATATGACGAACAATAGTTTTTTTTTTTTTTTTTTTTAATATAATATATATAAATATGCAAATCCATGGACGAAGAAAGTGTCTTAAATTGAACTTGCACCAGAATAACAAATTGCCCCTAAACGATTAAAATAGATCTCTTCTGGGATCTGCCGATAATCCGGACTTGCACAAATGACGCGGGACTATTTAGTTATACAAGCTACGAGCGTACCAAACGAAGAAATGTTCTCGAAAACCAAGAATACGATTAACCCAATTCGTAACTGACTATCCAAAGAGAATGCTTGTGCAAGTCTTTGCCTAAAATCGTATGTATTGAGTGTCATTGATTGCGTGGAGGAACAATAAATAATAATTGCAATAAGATAAATGTTAACGTTAGAATATATCGATATGTTCACATATAAATGAAAACATGTATTCAATAATAATAATAACAGGTTTTAGTTTAACGGGTATAATTATTAATAGAGTTTATAAAACGAGTTTTTTATATGCGCTTTGAAACAGCGTTTAATGGCACAAACTAGCCCGTTGAAACAGGACATCTCTGATAAAAATATCTAATTAAATTTAGTGTTGTAATTTTTGATGTTTTTAATTATTCATTATTCATGAGGTAAATGTGGGGTATTATGACGAATTGAAACTTTTTACAAATAAAAGCCCGATAAAAACTTGCTTGTTTTTTTTAAGTTCATGCGGATTTTAACTTGCTTTACAATCATGATATGAAAAGAAATCATGCCTTATATAAATCATGAGATGTTACTTAGAAGGCTACGATTTTTAATTTCGACGATCTTTTTTTTATAATTTCTTTCACGTAATAATTATCTCAACGATTTTTTGTTAAGTTTTACACTTAAAACAGAATTTTTTTTACAAAGTCAATCGAACTTTACTCACTAAATAAAATTCGAAATGCCATCTTTTACTTATTTTCAAATTTTTGGCGCACTATCAATAATTTTTATTGAGCTTTTCATCATACCAGTCACATGATATATAAAATTATAGCAAAAAAACATATAGAAATACATATAAACTTTGTTGTGATAATGTTTTTCAACTTACATATTAACTTTAAATTAAATTTTATGAATAAATACATCAAAAAAAGAAGAATAAAATGTGTTTTAAGTTGAATTAAAATTTTGCAATTTTGTTACAATTTGAAAATATAACTTTGTCAAAAAAATAATTAACAGTTTTAAAGTAATAATTATATTTAAAATTATATCCTGAACAACTTCAGTTAGGGAGTAAAAAGGGTTATCTTAGTAAAAAAAAGTTTTATATATATTATCAAAATTTTCAGTTTTAGAATTTTTTTTACTAATATGTATAACCCTTTTTACTTTCTAACTAAAGTTGTTTAGAGTATAATTTTACATATAATTATTACTTTAAAACTGCTAAATTTTTTTGACAGTTATATTTTCTAATTAGGCTATATAAATTTATATAATTGGTTTTCATATCCCGCCCGCGTCGACAAAGTAAGAGTTGAAAATTTTTTTTTTTTTATAGTTAACCAATAAAATTCGCCATCTGATAATCATGTGATAAAGTAATTCGCTAATTTGCGATCAAATTCAATATCGATATGCAAAAAATTATTAACGAGGCTATTCTTTATTTAATTCTATGTAATGAACAAATGCTTAGACACTGAAACTCA